TATTAAACATCATGGAGATTGGATGCTCCAAGGAAAAGATCAGTTTATGGGTAGAGTCTTTACGTAATAATAAAATTTATGTGGCATTGAGGATTGTAACAATTTTATTTCCTTCAATGACTGGTACAAAGTCTGGGATGGATCACCTTCTTTGAAAAAAATAGGGCATATTATCATTTTTGGAGAAAAAGAAGAGATGAACTCAAAAGAATAATCATCAACTGAGGAGTTATGAGAAAGAATAACTATATCCACTGCATAAAAAAGCATGACCCGGGAGCCACTTCTGATGCAGGGCAAAAGCAATTTCCTCTTGAGATTCAAGTGTATCAAAACAAAATTGTTTCCTGTCAAATAGCTCAAATTTAAAGGAAATCTTTGACACAATGCAAAAAGAAGAATAAAAATTTCAGTGATTAAATTCTCTATTTATGATTACAAACTGACAAAACTTATAAAATAAATGTTAAAACAATTAAATTATCTCAATCTGATGAATTCGGAATTGGATCGGGTACAAACTGTCGTATGTACCCACCACCAGTAGTATTAAACATCATGGAGATTGGATGCTCCAAGGAAAAGATCAGTTTATGGGTAGAGTCCTCACATTTGGAAAAAGCTTCTTTATCTTCACCATTCTCCTCAATGGTAGTCTTTACGTAATAATAAAATTTATGTGGCATTGAGGATTGTAACGATTTTATTCTCTTCAATGACTGGTACAAAGTCTGGGATGGATGACCTTCTTTGAAAAAAATAGGGCATATTATCATTTTTGGAGAAAAAGAAGAGATGAACTCAAAAGAATAATCATCAACTGAGGAGTTATGAGAAAGAATAACTATATCCACTGCATAAAAAAGCATGACCCGGGAGCCACTTCTGATGCAGGGCAAAAGCAATTTCCTCTTGAGATTCAAGTGTATCAAAACAAAATTGTTTCCTGTCAAATAGCTCAAATTTAAAGGAAATCTTTGACACAATGCAAAAAGAAGAATAAAAATTTCAGTGATTAAATTCTCTATTTATG